AGAAATGAGATATAGTCAGACAACTGAAGAATTTTAGGGCTATGGGATCTCAAATCATGCAGCAGAATTCCAAATTTCTTTGAAGATGAAACCAAGGCAAAGATGTTAATTTATTAATAGTCTATAAAATAACATTTTACAGCATTTCAGGAAGCCTCCCTTAAAAGAATAACTGATGAATCCTTTTATAGAACAAATCATTATTCCGTAATGTACCTACTACCTTGATCTACCTGCTTAATATGATCAGGTAAAGTCACAGAACGTGGCCTCTCGTCAAACAGAACCGACAATCCCGGTACGCACTGTTGCTAAGGGGGACAAAGGGAAGAGAAAGGTCTTCAATTACTGGGCACTTAGGGTTTACCTCCATTAAAGTGTCTATTCTTCCCAAAAATCTTATAAAAAGTATTAGTATATTTTTTTAGTAAGGAGACAGGTTTGGAAACTTGTCCATGATCACAAAGAAAATAAGCTGTAGTTCCAGAATTGACAACAGATATATCTGACCCCTTCCACCATACCATACTCAGCAAATGATCTTGAAGAAATGTTCTCTATAAAAGAATACCACTGTGCATGTTGAGAAAATAAAGTATGAAGTATTAATCCAAAGGATCTGTAAGAGCTTTCTAATTTTACTGTGATATTTACACAAAATAGATAATAATTATCAGTTAAGTGAATAAATCTAAAGTTGTTGAAGAATACTCAATCATAAGTTCTTGGCCTGGATTCTCTTCTCTTTAGTAAGACCTTAGGCTATTGGTTTCCTCAATATTTTAAGCTCTCCCATAGTAAATCAAAATTTAAAGGAAAAAAAATATCACACAACCTTGTGTTTTGCTGTCATTGAAAATTACTGAATTCTAATCTCAGCTCAGTGAAACCATTCTTAACCTGTCCTAGCTTTCCACAGTGGCTATTCCAAATCTCCACCATTCTCCTTTCCTAAACCAATCTGCCCTCATCAATTGACCTTGATTCCTATCTACCTCTTAGAGAACCTAAGTTTGAACTCTCTAACCTTTTACCACCCAACCTATAAATATACATATCTATTCTCACTTCTTTTCTTTCTTTTTCAGTGCATCTCTCCTCCTGTCAACATTAGCACACTGCCTAGGATCACAGCGAGCACTTCGTTGATACTTACAAAATAGAAATAATTCTAGACTAATTCTTCCACCCTGCTCATCCCATCCTTTTCCTACACTTTCAGAGACCTCTATCAGCTATCTCCTCTTCTCATCTCCTACATCTTCAAACATTTCCTCTTTATTGGCTCTTTCCCTAACAGTTTATCAATCTTTAAAAAAAAAAAGAATACCTACAAACCGTTTTTAGTTACTGCCTCATCTCTTTCTTTTCTTTTCTTAAAGAGAAGTGTGCCTGGAAATTTCATATTAAGGAAGTACTGTCAAGTAAAGAGAATAATATTACAGGTTTTTGTTTTTTTTTTTAAGAATCCTTAATTCTTTTTTAAAGTTTATTTATTTAAGTAATCTCTACACCCAAACGTGGGGCTTGAACTCACAACCCCGAGATCCAGAGTTGCTCACTCTATTGACTGAACCAGCCAGGCACCCCAAGAACCCTTAATTTTAAAGATACATATTGAAATAATTACAGATAAAAAGATATGATATCTGAGTTTATCTTTAAAATAATCCATTTGGGGGAAGGAGTAACAGATGAAACAAAATTGGTTATGTGTTCATTCGTCAAGGAAAGTGATGACTACATGGGGAGTTTATTATTCTATTTTCTTTTGTATATGTATTATCAAGGAAAATTTAAACTTGTTTTTCAAGTAGCCTATGCTCACATTCCTCTTCATTTTTGCAAAGTAGTTTAGAAATACTTTACAGCCACCAAATCCAATGGACATGTTTCAATCTTTACCTTACTTGCCCTCTCCAAGACACATGATACTCTGGACCATTCCAGCTTCTTACTTTCCTCTCCTTTGTCATTTGTTATGCATGCTCGCTCTGAGTCTTCTCTGCCTCCCAACCTCTCAGTCTCATTTGTGGGCACTTCCCCCACTTCCTTCCAAACATGGTCCCACTCCCCCACCCCAAAACACACACACACACACACACACACAATGCTATTCCTTCCCAAGAGTTCCATATTCAAACTTTTCCTTTTTCATTTCTAAACACTCCTCCAATGTGAGTTGATCCATTCTCCTATAATTTCAACTACTTATGCACATGCAAACCCATACCTCCAGCCCTGAACTCTCTCCTGAGCTCCAGATCCAAATGCATCCTTACCTGAATATCCCACAGGAACTTTGAATAAATGCTTAGAACTGAACTGACCTTTATCTTTCACTCCAACAAAACCCTGCTCCTCATCCTTTCAAATCAATGGTTTCACTATCCTCACAGACATCCTAGCCAGAAAACTAGGAATCATTTGTCTTAGGGTTCCAAAACTTTCTAGTCCCCAACTTAAGTCATATCAATTTTATCCCTTAAATACTTCTACAATCCCTGTCTTTCCATAACCCCAACTGCTTTTCAGACTTTTGTTCATTTTTCTATTGTACTTTTTCCCCCTAAAACTGGTTTCCCTATACCACTCTATTCTCCCCTCTCCAAGGTCCTTCTCCACACTGCAGCTGGAGTTATCTTTCTAAAATACAAACCCAATAACACCACTACTCCATTTGAAATTCTTCAATGGTTGCCCCCCCACCCTCCCAGAAAAAAACAAAACACTATAAACTCTTTATCACAGTACCGAGTACTTTAAGATCTGGCCTCTTCCCCCCACTACACTGCTAGTACTCTGGGATTCAGGCATCAGAATGACCTAGGGTTCTCCAAACACAGAACACTGGAATCTATCCTTTCTTCTGTTGTGCCATTTGCCTAAAATGACTTTCCTCATCTTCTCTCCCAGTGAAAGGTTACTCAACTTCCTTAACACAAGTCAAATGTCACATCATACTGGAAACTTTCCCCAATCTCCTTAGACAGAATCAGGATCTTTCTACCAATGGGTACAGAGAATGGCATCAATGGTTGAGATCATGACTTAAATGAGTTAGACCCACCTGGGTTAAAATCCCAGGTTCAAACTTTATCAGCTGACTCTGAACAAGATCTCTCAGTGTGTTTCCTCATCTCTAAATAACAGTAGCTAGGATTTTTTATGAGGATTAAATAATGAGCTACATGCAAAATATCATAAGTGCCTCACTGAAATCAAGTATTCAATAAATGTTACTGTTATATTACTGTTTATTTCCTCTCTGGGCTCCTATGGCAACTTGCACTTACCTCTATCATACTATCGTGATGACATGACTGTTTCCTCATGCAGAACAGACTATCTTCTATCATCTTTTTATTCCCACTACCAGGCATAATACCTATAATATCATAGGTTCTTAACAAATCTTAATAAACAAGTAAAATGCTTCCAACTCCTGTACTATATACCATAAGGCCTCAATTTTTTTTTCTAATGGTCTTTCTAAATTTACTTTCCATCTCCTTGTACAAAATTGGTACTTTAAGTAAAATTTACAAGTCAGCCTCATTTTAATTGAGAAAAAGGGCATTTTGTAGTGGCCTTGTGTTGTTTTCTTGTTGAAAACACACACACGGGGTGCCTGGGTGGTACAGTCAGCTAAGCATCCGACTCTTGATTTCAGCTCAGGTTGTGATCTGAGGGTCGTGAGATAAAGCCAGGAGTCTGCTTAAGACTCTCTCTCCCTCTAATAAAAAAAAATAATAATAATCAAACACAAAATAAGCCCACTGTTCTATCAACAATTTTTCTACATACTATATAAAATAACAAATTTCTAGGATGGTTATCTACTTGTTAAAAAAATTTTAAAGGGCAATCAAGGCAGGTTTTCTTCCTTACCACCAGGACCTGAGCCAACTCTAAGGACTAAGGTGTATTACAGAGTATTTGTTTTTTAAGTAGAACATGGCATTTTTCATTTTGAAAACATGCTCCTGAGAAATTCTGAAGAACACTGAAACAACCAAAGAAAATAATTATTACTACCCACTGCTAAAAAAAAAAAAAAAAAAAGACAAGCCTGTGCTTTAAAAATCACTAGTAAGTTAAAGTTAAACTAATCTTCAAAATAGAATCAAAATATATGTAGGCAGTATTCAAGCTAGTAAGTAGGGTGTGGGGGTAATCGTTCTGCAATCTTGACCCTCAATAAATGCAAAAGGCAAAACGGTTTAAAAAAAAAATACTACTATAAAATAGCATGGTCTCTACTTCTACACTTGACCTTTAAACATTAATGCCCTTTGAGTAATTATTAATGGGTTTAATATTAATATGCAAACACCTCTGAGCTACTTCAGAATAAACATGATTAAATACCTAAAATAAACGTACTAGGGAAAGGAGACAGGCCTGTTAAAAAAGTTTCTCGGGTCTCACATCAAATGTGTGCCATACATACGGTTCGGCACCGAGAGGCAGCAACCTGGGAGGGTCAGAGGCGCCGCAGGCCCGAGGCCCTGAAGCTGGGGCGGCTGCTCATCCCTGAGACTTTGCGGGGCGGTGGCCCAGCCCAGTCGGGGTGGGGCTGAGAGCTGTTAGCCGGGGCGGGCCAAACGGCAGGGCGGGAAGCCCAAGTCTCACCTCCACTTCCCTTTCCCAGCGCAGAGCCCAGTTCCGCGACCACCCAAGAGCCCCTGCACCACAAAGATTTTCTCTCGCCCGGTCCGCTCAAAGTTTATCGGTCTTTCCCATTGGTCAGGGCCGCCGGGCTTTGTAGTTCGCCGGTCCAAGCCACCCCGCCAAGGCCGCAAGCCTGTGGAGCCGCTAAACTACAATCCCCATAATGCCCCGCGATCTCCGCGCTCCCACTGTTCTCCATCTCCCCTCACCGCGCCCCAGGACCCGCGCCGCCGCACTGCCGTGGCAGCGGGAGACCGGGTGGGGCTGTGAACCTGAACCCCCACCACCTGCTCTCCTTCTTGCGCCGTCTCCCTGTGATTCATTACCTACGTGGCGCAGATCGGCGGGCCGTTGGTGATGCGGTCCGAGTGGGGGTGGGGCACAGGCCGCCGCCGCCGCGGAGTCCGTTAGTTCCCGACGTGCGAGAAGAGGCGGTGGCGGCGGCGTACGGTTGCCATGGCAGCTGCAGGCCTAGCGGTGAGGGGAGCGCGGAGGCTCCGAGTCAACTCGGGGGAGGAGCCTGGGAACCCCACCCGGGTGAGGGGGAAGGGAGGCGCACGGGTGCGTCTGGGAGAGGGAGACGGTGACATTGAGGAGGACGAGTGACTAATTGAACTCGGGTACTGCCCACTGAGCCCTGCCGCGGCAGCGTCTAATCCCCTTGGCAGGACGCGTGTCCTGGGTCGTCGGCGGAGCGCGTTGGTGCCCGCTCTATTCTGGGAGGATGCGTGTGGCGTCAGAGGAAGGAGCGCCGAGCGGCTCAGCGCCCGGCTCTTTAAAGGTCGTCCGGTCCGGCCTCTCCCCCGCCGCCTCTGCGGGCGTCCTTGGCTGGCTCTGCCGGGTGGCGTGGTGGGAACCGGAACCACCCTTTCTGGGCTTTTCACCAGCAAAACCGAGTTTGCAATCTTTCACACTTTTCTGCCACTTTCTGAGGAGTGGGCTAGAAACGAATCCTTTAGTAAGGCGTAATGCGTATGGCCTTTAGGATTATTGAGATTTGAGAACTTGTAAGTGGCACTGATTTCGGCTCAATTTTTGATGTGTAATATTTCCGAGGTAATCTTTTATGGACTCTCCCAAGACCCGTCTCAGATGCGGTGCAGTAGAAACAGGTTAAGCGCATGGGCTTCTAAAACCCGCTTCTCGGTTCACGTCCTGCCCCTACATTTGGTAGCTGATAACCAGGGGCAATTTACTTAACGCTCTGATGCTGAACCTTTTAATCTGCAAAGTGGAGATAATGCCTAGCGCATAGTGCTTGTGAGAAATAAAGGCATTCATACTGATGAAGCACTGTAAAACAAAGACTGGCATTTAACAATAACTTTTAAATCTCACTTATTTAATCCTTCGTGATAAGAATCAGAAGAGTGGTACCCTGGACGTGAGAGTGGGGTGTGACCGAAGAGGGAATTTTCGGTAGTGATGGAAAAGCTCTCTATCTTGCTTAGGGTTTGGGTTACAGAGGTATGTACATTTGTCAAAACTCATGGAATGGTACGTGTAAAATCTGTATGTTTCACTGTAAGTAAATGTATCTCAAAAAAAGAACATAAAAGTAAGATCAGTCTTGGCAATTTTCAAAAATACAATACAGTGTTGTTAACTATAGTGACCAGGCTGTACATTACATCCCCAGGACTTATTTATTTTATAACAGAAAATGGGTGCCCTTTGGCCCCCTTCATCACCCATTTAGCTCCACTACTCCCACCCACCCCCCACCTCTGGCAACCACCAATCTGTTCTCTGCATCTGTGAGATTGTAATTAGAGCTGTAGACTCTAATACAGACCACAGAGATGTTCTCTGTCCAATCTCCAGATTTTGCAGATAAGGAAAATGAGACCTAGAGAATTAAGTAAATGGAGAAAGTGGGGGGGGAATTACCCTGTCGTTTTCTACCAATAAATGTCTCTTGAGAAATTATGATTGAAAACAGCAAGCTACTTATGTGTATGTCATCCGGTTCTCAGTCGGGGTCACCTTGTCCACAGAAATTTTGTTGAAATTGACTCAAGTCCCTTTTCCACCTCCTGTGGAAAGGCCAATGTTCTCTCCAAGATTGTACATTCCCTCGGGGCGAGGGGGTGGGGGGACGGGTTACAATTTCAGGGTCATTTCTGGGTCTGAGTTCCTGCTTTCTCTGAACACATGGACTCTCTCTCATCTCACCTTCTGCAACTCTTTTTTTTTTTTTTAATTTTATTTATTTATTTGACAGAGAGAGACACAGCGAGAGAGGGAACACAAGCAGGGGGAGCGGGAGAGGGAGAAGCAGGCTTCCCACGGAGCGGGGAGCCCGATGCGGGGCTCAATCCCAGGACCCTGGGATCGTGACCTGAGCCGAAGGCATACGCTTAACGACTGAGCCACCCAGGTGCCCCTCACCTTCTGCAACTCTTTTCCCTCCTGCTGACACACAGTTTGGAAATCAAACCCTTTTCTTCGGTTGTTTGTATAGCAGGCTCCTCTGAAGGTTTGGAGCAACTGAGGGGTTTTAAATGAAGGATGCAATAACCTAAAGTTAGAACTCCCTGGTCTTGGAAGGCCTACAGTATCCCAATGGCATTGGTATCCACCAACCCCCGTTCTTTTTCAGCAGAAACTGCAACTCTGCACTAACCACCATCTCCCTGGTCCCATCTCTCCCTTCCTCTTTTCTCGCTTTATACAGTACTTTTAGTTACCTCTGTCTCCTAATCTCTACCTTCAGGACCACCTTCCATTCCTCAACTGGTTATCAAAGTATTTTCCAACACAAAGTACTTGCCCCAAGAGAACTCTGGTGCTGGCTATTAAAATCATATGTTAAAACTCAGTATTTATCTGCATATTCTATTTGATTCAGCCCAAAGTATACTCAATAAATATTAAGCTTATGCACATGACCTGTCTAGGCTACCTGCATAGTGGGTTCAATTATGAAAACTATTCGGTATAAATGAGGAAGCAGTTGATAGTAGCTAGAACCTCATGTCGGAGAGAAAGAAAAACTAAAGTCTGTGAGCACAGCTTATATTGTGCAGAAGTAATGACAGCATTCAAGCAATAAAATCCAGAACAAAATCTAAGTTAATACTTAATAGCAATAATGACATCCTTATAGAAGCAACACCTGGATTTGTCACCTCTAGCAATTTGATCACAACTCTGCATATATAATGAGCATATAAATAGACTCTCCTTTACTCCTGGAGAAGATGATACAGATCTGCTCTCAGCTGAACACATGTTTTTGTAGTAGGGATGATAGGTTCACCCGATCCATCCATCCCTCATCTGATTTCCCTTGTGACTTGTACTTACAAGGCAGCTGGCCAGGGTTGTAGTGCAGTCTACAGTCATGAAGAAGTCTGCAAATGCAAGGCCCCAAATATATAACCCTCCTTGTTTTTTGAAGTCAGAATCCCAGAGAAGCAGCTCAGCAGGACAAGCCACTTAGGAGAATGACGACAGCAGTGATAGGCAACAGCTGCCTTCAAGTAAGCTGAAGGAGGATGGTCACACAAAGGAAGACCATGAGCAGGGCCTTAGAAAACCTAGCATGGCTATGGACAGTTGGGAAGGAATGAGGACCGATAATAGTTTATTGTTTCCACGGGAGACTTTGGATTAGTTCAAGTAATAAACACACTGTGCAAATCTGAAAGTAATAACAGATGAATCTACATAGACAATATGGTCATGAGCCATTGCCCTCATTAAAGAGACTTAGAACATCTAGGGGCGCCTGGGTGGCTCAGTCAGTTAAGCATCTGCCTTCGGCTCAGGTCAGGATCTCAGGGTCCTGGGATTGAGCCCCGCATCGGGCTCCCCGCTCAGCAAGGAGTCTGCCTCTCTCCGTCTTCCTCTGCCCCTCCCCCCTCTCGTGCGCATGCTCTTTCTCTCTCAAATAAAAATCTTAAAAAGAGAGAGACATCTGGTTCAAAGTCTGACATTTTTCCTCAGTTCTCAGTCTTGACCGGTATAGCATTTGACTTTGCTGGTCACCCTCCTTAGTGGTTCACAACCTTGGTTCTCCTCAAAGCCTACTTCATCGTGTTATTCACCACCTCTTCTACCTGCTCCTTATTTGTGGAAATAGCTCCCAACATTCAATCAATACACCCTCTCCATGTATAGCGTTTCATCTCTCAGCTCTGGTTGACACTCAGATTTCCCTCACTAGTTCTGATCCCCAAGCTCCAATACTGCCCCGAAATGCCGTACACTTCCTTATCTTGTTCTATATACTGTTTTCTTCACCTGGAATGCTATCTCCTTACCCTAAATTCCACCTCTTCTACAAAAACTAACTCAGGCCTCTACATGAAGCCTTTCCTGATCATTCCTGCTCACAATCATATCATCCTGCTCTGTACTCACAACACTTCCTGCCTGTATCACCCACTTAGACAACCAACCGTACCGCCTAGTGGTAGTTCGTGTGTTGTTTACTCATTGGCTTTTGTCTTTTCTCCTCACTGATTTCAAGCTCCTCTGATGTACATTTCTGGGTATTTCCAAATACATCTTTATAATACCTTTCATGTAAGGACACAATATTTTTGATTGATGGCTCCTTAACTTTTCTCCTGAGTTATACCTCCTCTCTCATAGCTCTCCCCCTTCTAGTGCTATAAAGGACATTTACAGCCTCCTAATATAAGTATCCCTAAAGCCTATGGAAAAGTGTGGGCCCCCATATATATTCAGTGGATGGGTAATCTTAGGAGGCAGTTCCTCTAGGTCACTTGTAGTATGGAAGGAGTTCAGGAGGTAAGTGGCACTGAATTCCAATGCTCAAAGTCATGGACTAGGTCCTAGAGCAAAGTTTAGTAGGTCATGAAATCAATTTCATGCATCCTCTCCAGCTTTTTAATGTTTAAAATGGAGTAGGGTAAGGTAGAATCAAACAGAAGCAATAGGGACAAAATGCAGAGTGTATGCACATAGTTCCGGTCAAGTACTGGACAACAGTCGGTGGACTTTCAGCTTCAAACCTACCCTCTCTCCTGCTTTGTGCTGATGGAGCTGGAACTAGGCAACCCTCATTTCTCCTTTGTCTGCTGACTCCTGGGTACACTAGGGAAGAGCACAAGGCTGGAAGAAGAGGAAGCCCCTCGCTCACATGGTTGCCTCCTGTTAGATTACTGTCAGCATCACCCCAGCAATGGCCTAATAGCCTGGTGCCAGTAATTGCTGTCCCAGCTTCTAGTGGCACTTCCAGAACCACACTCATGGCACCTCTCCTCCCTCCACCCCAGACTTACCCGCATGGTCAGGTGTGCCTTTCTTTAGAGGTCTGGGTCCCATGTCTATGGTGCTGCTGCTCTAGGAGGCTGGGTTCTGAGAACACCATCCTCCTCTCTGCTCTCTGACCTCTGACCCCAGAGGCTGTCACTGCTTTGCAGTCATGACTGACATGTTACTCCAGCATTCTCTTTCAATTTTTACAACCCTCCAACATCTACTTAATTCCCTCTGTTCAGTTCTCTCTGTTGAAATACTTCCTCTGCTTTCTTTTT